TGTATTTGATGTGTTGTATCTTAAGGAAACCCACCTGCTTGTGCGATGGCGTTCTGGCTGTGGATGTGTCTATGGAGGTGAGCAGCACGCCGCACGAAATCTGCAGGCGATGGAAGGGGAGAATAGAATGACAGCTGAGATCGGTATTTTGTACACCTGATTGGTGCACATGAAGGATAGAAATCGGTGCACATATCTACCAATGAGAGCTCAAATATTTCTGTAGTTGTGATTGGCTGGTTTTCAAGTCTTATAGAGCCAAGCTGATGGGGTATTGAAGGATCTCATGAGGGGGTGTGCCCTTGAAATAAATTATCCTGCTGCTGTCCCGTCAGCGTCCTGTGCTACACCGATGGCTGATTTTTAATTGTTTTTTTACAACAAATCACTTGGATTGTGGAAAATCCTAAAGCGCTGTCAACTGCTACACTTTTGAGTAGGTTTTATCATTGCTTTTAACAATAAACCTGTTTGATGCCGCACAAAGTGGTGCGCTCTCCCTTTATATTTTTTGTCTATATATTATTGAGAGCTTTCAAATCTGATAGAGGATCAGCACCCGTGAGCTGTGTCAATTAAGGAAGATCTCTGACAGGGAAGAATATCACTGACAAGCCCTAGGGGAATCATTTTGGACACTAGAGTGAGTCACCTGAGCCAAAGTGCCAAAAAATTAGGAATGGGTCATTTCCTATCACCTGCATTTTATCTTGTGGATTAGGGATGCTCAGATGCCAGTTCAGATGCCAGTGCCGATACTTGGGATTTTCACGAGAACAATCAGGGTTGCAGAGGTTGCAGCTGGGACCTAGCTCTGGGGCTCCACCACTGCCCTGAAGTCATTAGTCTGTATTGTTTTATAAAAACTGTCACATGACCATAAACAACAATGTATCAGTACTTGTATCTGTGAGTACTTGGACAAGTATCAGTACTTGTACTTGAAAAAATTGTATCGACACATCCCTTATATATTTTTTTTTTTTTAAATCATGCATTAAAACGGGGATGCACAAATCTCAGGAGTTCTGTATGCTTCTTAAAAATGACAGCTGCCTACTAACTTTTGCATTTGTCTCTAGTCTAGTCTTGGAGCTGGAAAATAATCTGTACTTGTACTCAGTAGAGTACTTGGTATCTGAACATCCCTATTGTGCATACACAGCATTTCTGAGGTGGAGGTATTGATAAAAGGAAAGTTCAAACTCCATTAAAAAGTGGTAGAATGGCTTCAGCACACCATCCTTACAAACGATGGCCACTGTGTTCACCTAGGTCTGTTGCCATTGGAGAAAAAAAACAAGTTTATACATTACAGTGAGGGATTCATTTAGTGACAGGTGTGTATATCTGGAACGGTTTCCAACACCCGACGGAATCTTAGCACATCTTATACTCTCTCCATGAGATGCAGTGAAACAGTGGCTTATGTTTTAGTATAGGTATTTGTTAACCTAAATAGGGTTTGCTTTCTGGCACAAGAACAGGTTCAGAAGAGTTAAAAGGTTCTTCTGTAACCCTTATGAGTCATTCAAAGCCTCTTGCACCTTAAAAACCACCAAGAACAATCTCAGTCACACCTTCCCATTACTTTCCTGATTTCTAGTAAATTCTCAGTTTTACCCATTTCTGTTTAATTACTAAATAAAATTTTCCATAAATCAGGTATCTCTTTGAAGGACTTTTTTTTATAGGCATACTTATCCTTTAACACAGGGGTGGGCATATTAATATAACCTCTAAGGCTAGGCCTAAGGCTAGGCACCAGCTGTAAGTTTTTAGGGGGAATTGGGTACCCGGGTCAGGGGATTTCTCCAACCCTGCTTTAATAGAACAATAATTACGTTACCAAACATTTCTTGCAGTTCAGCACCCTGGCATTTACTGAACAAATACAATCCATCTATATAGAAATAATACAAATAATTACTTAGATTTTACTTTGCACAACGTCCATTACTGTAATACTGTAATGGAATGTAGTAATGTAATATAAGATAACACCCTAAGATAAATCTACAAATGTGACCTAAACAAAAATCTTAAATGCAGGTAAAGGCTTTGGATAGAGTTGTGAAGGGTTAGACCCTTTGCCAAGTTTTTTTATTGCTTCAAAGGGAGACATCCAAGAGGCACTGGGGCTTCAAGATTGATTTGTACAGAGCAGTGAAGGAAAAACAATCATTCGGAGAGCTCACTGGCTTTGGTTAGGTAGTTTCCACGCAAACAGAGCAGCCATCCAAAGGGTAGCCAGTAAGTCACTGAAATCATATATCAACAGATGGAGTACCATGCCAGAATTGTGAAAAAGTCCAAATTGCTTTTATAATAATTTGTGAACCAATAAAGGGATTTGGACTCTTTCACTATTTTAGTCTGGTGCTTCTTGTACGGGTTTATGCTTTCAATAAGTTGCTATCTGAGTCCCCACTAAGGAGATTCACCCCCACCCATTTATACATATTACCATTGTCCCTAAAACAGAAAGTTTTGTGGAAATCCAAAATTCTAGAGTTGTCCCCAGGACAAGACGTGAGGGGATTTCCTCCACTGTGGACATCTCTTCTGGATATGAGTGTCTAAAATGGGAACTTCCCTCAGAAATGTTTGTATCTATATTGTATATGTTTTGCATGTCTTTGCTGAATCATTTCCAAACAGTCGGTTTACCTTCTTGTTCAATTTTTCTGAATTTGTTAACGTTTTTCTTGTTTCTTATTTTTTGCTCTGCAATATGCTGTTTTTTATGGTGTTCTCAACAACAAATTGCATTCCTTTTTAAATGTATTATCAGTCGAACAAGCTGTCTCCCTGGAATGCCACCTTTGAGGGGAACTGGGTGATGGCTTTCCCAGTGTAAGAAACATTGGTTGATGGTGTTTTCCCATATATATTTGTTTGTAGAGTTCCATTAAGGTCTCTGAAAATTGTTAGATCTAGTAAATGGAGATCATCCACTTCTATTTTGCTTCTAAAAAACATACCAGTTTTGTTGTTCAGCAATTTTACAAATGTTTCAAACATTTTCCTGCAACCCTCTCATAAACTATTGTCAAGAAAATGAACCCATAATAATATATGGGCTTTATATAAAAAACAAAAATCACTGCGCTAGGAGTATTCAATAATAGTGGACCAGCCGCAACAATGTGAGGTATTAAACCCGTGTACGTTTAGTGAGTACAAACGACACTCACTAAACATATGGGTTTTATAGTGCATTTTTCTTGCCACCATCCTAAGAATAGGTTTGCAAAGGTGGGTGCACAGCAAGTTCCCATTGCAGTTGGTCTTTCCTGCTTTTAGATCACCTAATTAAAGAGGAAATAAATGCTAGTTCATGTTTAGAAAAAATCCTTACGCTTTCAAGTCTAAATTATGGTTGATGTTATGGTTGATTTTGTCATAAAATCACTACAGTCTTCAATATAGGATGGAAGTGTTTTTACATATTGTCTCAAAATTGCATCCACTTATCTACTTATATTTTATATTTTGCTGTGAACCACTATGCCATTTAGTGAACCCAGGGCGCCCTGTGCACCCCATGGCTCCAGTGCACTCCAGAGTATCCTGTGTCATCTTGTAACCCCAGTGTTCCCTGTGCATTGTGTGACTCCAGTGCATTCCAGAGCATCCTGTGTCATCTAGTGACTCTCCATGTTTCTTACAGTACTACAGTGAGTGATTCAGTTTCTCACTCTCGCAGCTGAACTTGCCTGGAATAATGAGGAATACATCTCCGAGAATTTTCAAATAGGCTTTAGCCACAAATCATCTTCTGCTTAGACAAGATTCTTCTGTGCCGAAAAGAAACGTGGTACTCTCCACCCATCTAATGATTACCATGGACTAAATGCCATCACTGTCAAAAAAAACATATTCAATACCCCTTATTGCAGAGCTTTTTTTTATTGCCTCCATGGAGCTCAATTATTCATGAAACTTGACCTACGAGGTGCATACAACTTGATTCACATCAAACAGGGTGCCTGTTTGATGTGACTGCCTGCAGAGTTAAAATGCTCAAAGAATTTTAACTCTGCAGGCAGTCTCCATTTGCACCTATATCAAACGACACTGTCTGTTTCAAGTTTTCTCTGCAAGCTACACTAAAGTTACATGTAATGCAATTAACCCCAGAGTCATGTGGGACACTTTGATTGCCCCAATCCGCTTACTTCAATGTGGGCACATCCACATCCAATCTCAGGGTAGGATCCTTGGCATGTAGTGGTTCAAAAGCAATATGAGTTTCAGTCACTTTAGTCATTTTTGGTAGTTTTATTTCTGAGTTTTCATGGAAGAGAAGATGAGCAACAGACCAGCAACAATTTCTTAACTACAGTTCCTGTATCTTTAAAACAGGTGGTATAGCAATGTCTTTCAGTTGTTCCCATGCTCCCCCAGGGTAGGACAGGATCCTCTCATTTCAAGGTTCTAGTGTCTGATTATTCACTCTGCAAATGAAAGTTAGTCGAGAAGGTTCTAGTATTTGCTTCTCCCTATCAAGCAGTTTAGTAATGCTATTTGGTAGGGCTGCGGAAATTAACGATTAATCCCTCGATTAATCGTAAATATTTTTGATCGATCAAAATTATTTTGATTGGAACTCACCTCTCCGCCGGCTTCCGGGTCTTCCGTCGGAGATCCGGTGACGTCACGGACTCCTCCCCCGAGTGGCTCTGTCGGCTAACGAAGGGAAGGGGGGAGGAGTCCGGTGATGTAGCTGTCCGTGATGGGTAACGAAGGGAAGGAGGGAGGAGTCCGGTGATGTCGATGTCCAAGACGTCACTGTAAAAAATTTGATTAATCGAACAGGAAAATTTTAATCATTACCAGCCCTACTATTTGGGCATCTGCTTCCCTCTTAGTTGCATTGGATCAAAATGAATTAATTAATTTCAGTCTCCAAGCCCAATCTCCCAACTGGTGAGAGTTCTCAAGTCAATCTTCTATCATATACAATGCCTAACACATGTATATACGTATTGTGCCTATTATGGCACATGCTTTTTTCTTATAATCACCAGCAACGCTCCTTTAACATCCTTGTTTCTCAAAGTGTAGATGAGAGGGTTGAGCAATGGAGTCACAACACTATAGAACAAGGTGGCCATTTTATCCTGGTTGGCCACATGAGTGTCTCCTGGTCTCATGTACATAAAAATGATTGTACCATAGAATAAAGTGACTACAATAATGTGTGAAGCACAAGTGGAAAAAGCCTTCTTCCGGCCCACTGATGTACTGATCTTAAGTATACTGGAGATAATGTACCCATATGTAATGAGAATGAGGAAAAATGGGCCCATAACCAATGACATAGCACAGAAAAAAATAATGTTCCTGTTAAGAGAAGCATCTGTGCAAGCCAGTTCTAGTACAGATGGTATCTCACAAAAAAAGTGGTTAATGACATTTGGGCCACAGAATGATAACCGCAAAGCAAAGAATGTATGTATTAATGAGTTTATAGAGCCTCCAATCCAACAGCCACTTGCCATTTGAACGCATAAGCTTAGATTCATAATTGTGGTATAGCGTAATGGGCTGCATATAGCAACATAGCGATCGTAAGCCATTGCTAAGAGAAGGCAGCACTCTGTGCCTCCTAGACACATGTGTATAACCATTTGGGTAAAACAGGCCTCAAATGATATACTTTTTTTCAGTGATAAAAAGTTGATAAGCATTTTTGGAACTACGCTGGAGGTAAAGCTAAGGTCCAAAAATGATAAGTTACTCAAGAAGAAGTACATTGGTGTATGGAGACGGGAGCTTATACTACTGACAAAAATAATAAGGGTATTACCCATAAAGGATATAGCATACATGACAAGAAATATCACAAATAAAGCAATTTGCAAGTCTGGTCGTCCGGTCAGCCCCAGAAGAATGAATTCCTCAACTCTGGTGTAGTTCCATGGCATCATGGCCAATAAGACAGTCTGGAGAGAGAATTTTGTGGTGGAAATGTCATGATATATACATTTATGTACAAACAGTAGTAAGTCCCTTCCATAGTCCACTCAATACTTTTTTCAACCTTAAGCTCACCAAACATGTTACGGTCTGATTGTACAATCTCCTTTAGATCTACCAACAAGTATGTATTAAAAGGACCTGCCTGATTAGGTACAAATTGATTGGATAGTTTAGGTTGGTTCTGTGTGGTGAGCCCTAAAGTAAACCTGTGCCCAGACTATGAACACTAAAGTATTTACATATGAACACACCATAAAAGCACTTTCAAACAGGCCCTTATTCCCCTCTGTATCTATAGACATTGTGAGGATATTAATCTTGAATTCACAACAAAAGCACCAAAATCTCAGCTATTTTTTATGGACAGCAGAAACTTGACAGGTTGCAAGCCCTCTAATGTGAACAAGCAGCAGGTATATCTAAAATTTTAGAAACTGACTGGAACATGACATTAGAATCTTTGCAGGGATGTTTGAGGATCTTTGAGAAATAATTACTTAAAATTAAATGCAGCTAGAGGAGATGTCAGTGAGGGCTATTTACCTGCTTGCTAATAAAATGTAAATAGTCTAGGCACAGATGCACTTTATAAAACTCAAACCAAATTGATAACACTCAATTATACTTTCCTTTTAAAGCATAATTTTACAAAAGCTAATATCTAAGCGCTAATACCGTAGTAACACATTTTGAGCTAAATAAGACAACAAATTCCCCAGCACACCTATCAATTAGTCAGCACAAAAGCAAAGTCTAAAGTGTTTCAACAAATAAATTAAAACAGCATTAAAAGTGGAGGCTTTTGTTGCATAGATTTACAAATATACGTGAAAGCTCAGAGCTTGACCCTGTCTGTACCACCCAGCTCCACAAAAGTCCACTGAAAATTGAAGGAGCCAGGTGCAAAGTTGTTGGCTAAAAAGTGACTTCATCCAGTCCAAAGTAGTCACCGTTCAGGTATTCAGACAGCCCCATCACCCATGACTGTCTGAATACCCGAACAGTGACGGCATCTGATTGGGCAATTGTTGGCTGGGGAGATTACTAAACGGTGGAAAGGGAAATCAACATATTTATCTTACTGAGGCCGGGGGGCTTATTGAGACAAATCTAACTGTTTATTGCAAACCTTAGTACTGGCATATTAATACTTAAGGTTCTCTGTATAGGAGAGACACCAGAGAGTCTACAGTGAGTATATTTGGGAATATATCTTCCCATTACTAGCAAGGGTTCCCAGATTACTTGTTATGGGTTGGACTGGTGCACAATATGGACCAGTAGCGGTCCTGGTGCTTGGGTAAAATACTGATCAGGTAGGCTGTGTTCCTTGTATGCAGCGCAAGGCCTAATTTTAAATTTTTCATTTCTTTAATTCAATTATTTATTATTTATTTATATTGTTATTGTTCATACAGTTTGAGATCATCTGTGAGTTAATTAATCATTAATGGTTAAATACATAAAGTGTTTAACTTTAAGCCATCTCTAAGTTATTCATTCACTGACAGACATTTCTGAAATAATTTATCTGCAATTTCCTTACTTACCTTGGCGAACAAAGAAGTTGATGTCCTGCCCTTCTCCAGTGATGAGCCGCCCTGCACCTGGACCTGAGTGACACCGCAACACCAGTTTACAGTATAAATGGGCCTTATTGAAGAGAATGAAGTGCTGTAAAAGAAAATGGTTAGACAAACAATTACAGTGAAGTGTCAAACAATTCCCAGTGTGACAAAAACTATAAGAAAAAGGCCCTGTCTAAGCCTACTTCACTGGCCAATGGACTGGATATACTGCAATACAGTCCTGCCGGCAATAGGGCCCTTTTCTACAGTGAAGCACTTCTTTCTTCTGAGGGTATTTGTAATCCCAAATCAAGCAAAAGAGCGGAAACAAATGGCCAGAAGGCCTCTCGCCACTCCTGACAGTTCGGGTGCACCTCTTGAAAGCAAGGGGAATTAGAGACCCGCCTCTCGAGCCGGCAATGGATGATGTTACAGTCTCTCTACAGCCACACTCTGGAATAACAGCACTCTTTATTTCACAGTGTGGAGTCCTTTCAGAGATAGTTCCTGAGTAGAGTTCCTTTTTATTCTTTCTTGTTTACTCGAGAATGTTAAAAAGCAAGTGGTGGAGCCTTGTCAGTAGAGTTTGGCTAGCAGAGTATGCGTGCAAGGGGTTCCTGTTAAAGTGGGCTAGTAACCATATCCTGTGAGTATCCTCTTGAGATAATGGGGGTGATTTACTAACCTAAACACACGCACACACCAGGTGGGTGTGATTTTCACACAGCAAAACGTATTTATCAACCAAAAAGTCTCTAAAAGCATATTTCCACTAATGCCATATATAGAAAAATCATGCACATGATGCATATATAATGCTGCTTCACAGTTTAGACAAAAATGGTTAGCTCATGCATTTACATTCCTGCATTCATCAACGCAAGCAACACAACATAGAGCTAATTTACACAACATCACCTTGCAAATTCATGCAGGGCTTTGCACAACACACCTGCTGGGTGTGTACACACTACAAAGGTGTTTAGATTCCACCCATAGATGATGCTGGGAGGGAACACACTACAGAGGTGTATACATGTTCGTGGTGTGTTTATAAGTTTAGTAAATCAACCCCAATATGTCATTCTAATGAGCAAAAGAGCTAAGTGGGAAAACAAGCTAGGAATTTTCTTTACAAGAGAGATTAGGTGAGAACCAGAGTAACCCTGTGTGAAGAAAACATTTTGCCTTATTGGATAAACCTTGTTATGCCACTTTCCTGTAAAAGTTTAATTTGATACTGAAATGACTGTTGCACTTATTCTCTTGTGGAGTAAAGTTTATTGTTTCTTTTAATTGAACCTGACTGAATGATCTTCTGTATATGGGCTAGGGAAAGATGAGAGAGAGGTGCTTAGCTTTGAAATGGGCCCTGTCTGTACACTGAGGGTTGGTGTGCCCAGTTTCTGCACTGTCCTTGGAAAAGGTATAAGTGAAAGCTGTAAAATCCATTCATATGCTCTGCCTGGGTGACTTGGGATTTAGGGTCTCAGTGGGGTGTTTGCAGGGGGAACCAGAGGAAGCCAGCCCATGGACTATGTTGCTTGTGTTGGAGAAATGAGCTCCCCTCTAGACACTGTGTTAATAGAGAATTTCACTGCCTCAAGTTGAGGCCTCCAACTGCTTGAAGAACCCTACTGTCAATGGGAGTGTGGCTGCCAGCCCTGACCCTTGGGTAGCATGCCACTACAACCAGACAATTAGCATTTTCAGAAGGGGGTCAGCAACAGCAGGCACCCTATTTTTCTAATTACAACTTCACTTTGTTGTAACAATTAACTAGTCTGTCCATGCATCATTTCCCTTTAAGCTTGCAGGGACATGGTGATAGCAATTAATGCAAGGGATCTTTAGAAAAGTGTAGTAATTGTGTTGAATGGTAACTGCAGATTTGCTTAAAGGTATTCGTTTTTGAAAGGTTTGGTTACCTTTACATTATGCTTGCATGGGGCATCATGTCTCAAAATTCAGATTTCAGGTTTGCCTGTCCCCATCATGGTTTTAAATAAATAGACAGATTGTAAGAGATTGGGATTCAATTCAGACAATTACAGTCTGCCAGCCTGTAAATTGTAATTGTACATATTGTACAAAGATTTCTTATTTTCAGTATTCACATACATAATGTGTGTGGCTTACCTGAAATTATCCTTCATAACAATGAAAACAAATATATTTAGACTTCGTCTTCCATTCATGCTACATAGTCTTTGGTATAAGTGTGGTTCATGTTTTTATCATGAATGCTCCCAGGTACTGAATTCACAGACTATATATATATATATATTCTATGTCTATAAGCAACAATTTGAAAGACTTTATTAATCTCTGATGACTTCTTGTGCTGCTAATTAACTTTTTTCCATGGGGAATTTTATCTGAAAATACTAACAACAAAGAAAAAAATAGAAAAAGAAAAAAAAAACAGAAACTAAATTGTACCTGTGATTTACCTTTACATTATGCTTGCATGGGGCATCATGTCTCAAAATTCAGATTTCAGGTTTGCCTGTCCCCATCATGGTTTTAAATAAATAGACAGATTGTAAGAGATTGGGATTCAATTCAGACAATTACAGTCTGCCAGCCTGTAAATTGTAATTGTACATATTGTACAAAGATTTCTTATTTTCAGTATTCACATACATAATGTGTGTGGCTTACCTGAAATTATCCTTCATAACAATGAAAACAAATATATTTAGACTTCGTCTTCCATTCATGCTACATAGTCTTTGGTATAAGTGTGGTTCATGTTTTTATCATGAATGCTCCCAGGTAATAAATTCACATACTATATATATATATATATTCTATGTCTATAAGCAACAATTTGAAAGACTTTATTAATCTCTGATGACTTCTTGTGCTGCTAATTAACTTTTTTCCATGGGGAATTTTATCTGAAAATACTAACAACAAAGAAAAAAATAGAAAAAGAAAAAAAAAACAGAAACTAAATTGTACCTGTGATATTCCCGGCTGATTTAGCCTTTATCATTTTATTTACACAATGACTTCACTGGTGTAACTGGAACTTAAGGCAACACTTTTTTTTATAATGGAGAAGAGTTTAAACCTTAAAGTTCTTCTTGTTGTGTCCCCATTGGGGTGATTTCCTATATCTAATTTAGCTGTAAAATTTACTGCACTGGTGTTAAAGTTAAACCCCTGGTAAAGCTTTTTTTGGGGGGATAGAATGGGAAAGAGCATATACCTCTCTCAGGTTCATTTTGCTGCTTCTCCATTGCAGTGATTTCATTTCACTTTTGTGTTCTGGTGACACAAATCTTATGTCAACTGTCTTATGCCCACCTACCCCAGTTGACTGGTTGACCTTAATATCACAGAGTTCATGGCACAATGCTCCAAAAAACCCT